TTACTAACCGTAATTTTTGAAATGATTAGAAGAGGAGGAATTAAAAGTTTTTAATCTTGGATCTTTTTTATCCGAGAAAATGCGTAGTACAACATCTATGCATTGGCCAATAAAATAAGCCCGATCTTTTTTGTATTTAAAAATTTTACTGATAAGATTTTTAGCAAAATGTTGACAGAACTTGTGCTCGCAACTTCGCTTTCAGATTCAAACATACAAGTTTGGGATTTCAGAACCGGAACTTTGTTAACTTCTTTCAAACAAAATAAATGTTATCAGCATGGCTTGGCTTTAATTCCATTTCCAGGACAGCCTAATAGAGTTGGTTTAGTTATAGCCGCACAAACTGATAAGGCATTATTACATGTATATTCGTGGCAAAAGGTTGGGCAAAATTGATCGAATAATATCGGAGTCAAAACGACCAAATTATTTAATAGAAACATATCATATATTCGTTATAGGATCAGCCTTATCTCAAATTTATATGTCCTGAGAAATTAGTTTCGGTGACTATTTCAAATCAAGGCGCGTATTGTGCTTGTGGTACCGATAATGGAAAAATTTACATTTGGGAGGTAAATGAAGAGATGAAAAATTCGATGAAATATTATGATATTCTGTTATTTAATTATTTTTAATATTTAATTTTATATAAATTTGAAGCTTTCAACTGGAATATTATGTCGTGTATATGATGCTCATTATAAAAAGATTAGTGTCCTCAAATTTACAAATGACGATACTGCATTGATATCAGGCAGTGAAGATTCTGGAGTAAATGTCTGGTTGATATGCAGGTTGTAATTATTATAATATGCCAATATACTAATTCATGGTTTATATAAAAAGAAACTTATTGTAAAAACCTTACAACAGTATTTTAAATGATTTAGCAGATGAATCTCCATCTCCATTTTATTCATGGTCAGAACATTCATTACCAATAACTGATATAATATGTGGGATTGGTAGCTTTCGTACCGCGAGAGTATTGACTTCGTCGTTGGACCATACTTGTAAAGTGTGTGTTACTTGATAAATAAACCTATTCAATTGTTTATAAAATATTCATTATGAAATTTTCATGATTAGCTATGGGACCTGTCGTCAGGACATCTTCTAACAACCTTCCTATTTCCCACCGCTATAACTGCTATTGCGCTTGACCCTGCTGAAAGAATGTTTTTTGCTGGTGGTAGGGATAATCTTATTTATCAGGTAAATCTGTACCGAAAATTTGAGAATAGAACTTATAATGCAAGTGGACAGCCTGGATTTGAGATATCAGCAGTAGGAGGTGTTGGTGTTGTTGAAGATGTTGTATCTGAACGTGATGATAAGAGAAACCTAATATTTAGAGGACATAGGTGAGTCTTTAAATGATATTTGTTTATGAATTTGTTGTGTGAATTCGTTCATAATTTATAATTTTCTTTATGTCAGCATGTCAATTACGACCCTTTCACTTTCATATGATACTACGCTTCTCTTATCAGGTTCTGAAGATGAAACAGTGAAAGTATGGGATATTGCCAGTGGACAAATGATTAAAAATTTTACACATCTCAAAGGTATAACTCTACAACTGTATCGCGTTGTTCAGTTTTCAATTGTGACTTTAATAAATTATTTAATGAAGGTCCAATCGCGAACATACAAACTTTTATAAAGCCACCTGATTTTTTCAATTTCGGTTTGTCACCAACTAAAATTATGATACAACCAATACAGCCTTTTAAGAGAACGCAAGGGATATCGATCAAAGAAGATTCTGAAATTGAAGAATCTGTAATAATGGTTTTAAATGATAATAAAAAGGTAGATACAATTCTGAACTTTTTTCTAATTTGAAATTAACAAAACTTTTTAAGATTCATGATTTGTCTTGTAGGAAATTGATTTATATAATTACAATTACGTCAATCAAGGTAATATTAAATAGTGTTTTAATTCATTTACGTTCGAGTAAATTTATTTGATGTCATAGACAATCCTATTATTATTTTAGTTTCCTCATCATATGAGTTTAGTGATTTGCAAAAAGCAAAATCCACCCAAAGCAAATTTAGAGTAAGTACTCTATTTATATAAATGATATAAATGTATTAGGCTATTTTTTATTTATTTTTTTTTTTATTTTTTCTGATATTTTGATATAGAATGGCGATGCAACTACCATGCATCAAACACAAATATCGGAATTGCAATCCGAGCTTATTCGAGTTCATGGTCATTACCGACATTTAAAAGGGCTACATGATAAAATGTATCAGGAATTGGTTACTGATTTTATTTCAAAAAGAAGAGCCGAAGAAAACTAG